TTACTTTTGCCTGAAGGTGTCAGATGTTAACATATGCTATACATGTTTCGAGCTACTTACAGCTCATCTTCAGCAGCATTCTTGAATTTAAAAAATCACATCAAACGATGTTTGTCGACTATTTACAGTTTATATATACACACACGAACACACGGAAATATATACAAATAACATACACACGTTTTGCAGTTGTAGGTACCGTAAACATGTTTGCGTACGCACGGTTAAATATACACTTTACCTAAAGTTTAATGTTTTCAGATCTGAACAATATATTGCACATGTCCATTCGAAACGTCAATCTGAATAGTGACACGATTGTTGACAAATTCTCATTCAAGGTCCCGTTGAAAGACAAACATCCAATGGCTCAACCAAACTGTAAGTATAAATTAATTTACTATAATAAATAGCCTACACGTGGGTTTTAAGGTGCCAAACCTATACTCATACACAAGGATAACTAATTATTATGATGCTTGCCTAGAGAAGGTAACTGGCTCGAACCTGAAGGTGTAATTCAAAACTTGTCCCAGCTGTCCGAGGTCTCTGGACTTTAAATAAACAGCACAGCTAGATAAACAGCTGATAATGTTAAAAGTTAAGGAGAAACAATACATTGGTATTTATGTAGTAATGTAGCCTAATATACAACTCATGTTGTGTTCAACACAACTAAATAATAAAAATAATTATCTATTAAAAATATCTAAACGTTACTGAAACAGGATGTAACAAGAGGTATGTTTCAGGTAATAGTTTGTGTTAGTGCTTAAGTCCAACATCTAAATTAGTTGTTTTTATCTTACCTTGACTTCAATATTTTCTGTAGACGATAAATCCTAATTTAATGCGGAATTATTTTCCAGCCACAGTTTGGAAACAGATGACGCTGCATTATGAGCCTCCTTGGCCACTTCATCTCTTGTTTAAGGCTGACGAGTTGGACGTTTACGACAAACTGTTCAACTTCCTTCTGCAGGTCAAGATGGCCGAACTAAACTTGCATCACGTTTGGTTGGAAATTGTAAAGAAGAAGGACACAAGGCAAGTGATCTTTATATACAGTACAGTCCCACAAACTATGTGTAATATGGACCGGAAGGGTACAGAGTTTGAGAAACAGTGTTTTTCCAGAAAAAAGTTAAAAATTAAATCAGAGTCCTAATAAAATGGCACTTTCCTTTTATTTAGGAGAAGAAATCCATTTCCCTGGTCAAAGCAAAAATTATTAGTAATTGGGATTAGATAGTTCATAACAATTATTGAAATTTTAGACTATTTTTCTATTGTTCCACTGACACTAGGAGGGGCAAAGGCAGCTGCCCACCACTGAATATAACCAGTTATTTTTATTGACCTTACGCCCAAGTCAAACACAACTTATGGTTTGATTGATAATTTATTGACCTATCAGCAGTTCCAGTTCAATCAAGGTGTAACATATCATAGACTAAAAGAATTAAATATAGACCGTCAGCTGTGCTGCGTTTACCATAGGTTCTGGCGCACACCACTAGGAGCGCCACGGTAGTTACAGCGTACGCGCTACGTAAACAACAGCAGTGTGCGCCGGAACCTATTGTAACCATGGTAACCGCAGCACGGCTGACAGTCTATATTTCATTCTTTTTGTCTATGAACATATCCTGGAAGCCATTTTAAAACACCTGAGTCCAGGAAGAATAATTAATCTTAGTGTCTCCATTGTACATATATTTATCACAAATTTTACCCTGTTGACCCAGCCTATCACACAAGATTTACAACTGATACATTTGCCTCGTGGACAGGTTACCACCCAATGTGTGGTCGTTGCACAACATGCTGCTTTACCTGGTCGGCAACTTACAATGCTACCTACACCAAGACGTCATCACGTGTCACTTCTCTCGTCTCTGCGCAGAGTTGGACCGAACGCAAGACTTCCATCAAGTGATCCACCTCCACAGTGTTTTCCTCAGCTCCGTCACATCAGAGTGTTTTGTTGATATCCACCCCGCCAAGGTAAGTGTTGTGGGTCCTATTCCATTTTTATATTTTTAATTGGCTTATGCATATTTCACTATTGGTCGGCCGCTTAGATGGATCCTCGCGCAGGTCGCTATCTGTCCGGCCGACCTATACTAAGGCCTTTGATCACATTATTAATTTTTGTAAATTCACAAAATGTGGTTGGTTTGTGTGACCAAAATAACTATCCGACTGAGGTTCGGTTTCAAGATGGCCGGATGGCGGATATGAGGGTTTCTACTGTATTCTAAAACAGATTGCATTGTTAAAAGTGATTGAAAAGAAAATCATCAGATTCTTTGGGTTGAAAACATCTAAACACAAAGGTTCATCTGCCTACTTGTCTGTGGTTTACATAGTGAAAATGTAGTAACAAATTCTTTTAATTTACAGGAAGATCAACCATCTACAAGACACCCTGTAAGTATAAAAAAACTTCACTGAATTACCATTAAGCCAAGATCTCTTTTCATAATTTCTAAAATGGTTTAAAGTAATTATTCTGAAATTTTAACACCTGTTTAAGTGGTGACTTGTGCATTGCCGGACACATTGTCCGCCACCAGCAAGTGCACACTTGCTTGGACTCAATTCAATTCAAAACATCTTCATTCATCTTTACCCCCCGCCGAAAAAAAAATATTTGTTTTGTAGTTGCAAGCATGCGCAAGTAGCAGGTTATCAGTTCAGAGTAGTTGATTCTTTGAACATTGGGTCAAGTGGAAGTGATGTGCTGTACTATGGATACGGGAATTCTTGCCTGAAAAATTCGATTGTCTGCTTAGTGTTATTTTGTCCAGTATGTAATAGAAAGTCTCTGGCGTCATTCTGAAGTCCCGGAAAAATTTCTCAGGTTGTCTTAGCAAGTCGTTAAAGATTTGAGCATATTCTTCATCTTCTTCTCAGTCCACAAACCACTCGTTCCTAATATCTTGCTCATCCAATAATAAAAAACTTAAAAATACAAAAAACTTAACGCTTGCGCAACGTAGCCTAAGCCTCTAGACCTTATTTTAGAAAATTTGCTAGCTTAACTCCATCCAAAAACTCCATTTTTGAAATTAAATACTTTCGATAATGAATGTTTCTGTTCCATTAGGTGAACAAATGCCTGATGAACATTCTTCACCTTTGTGATAATTTTTGTGATGAAATTGCAAGAGAAGAAATGAGAGAGAAGAATTTTGAGCAAATAACACTCCGACTGGACAAGAATGTTGGTATACTGATGAACTTAATATCTGTGCTGGGGAACAAAGCCTCTGGACTTCGCCTGTTGCTTCTTAGATTGGACTACAACAGACATTTCAGTTCTCGCCTTTATGGAGAAGCTTGAAGCGTGGAACCCTAAATGTCCATCGTAATCTAATAAAGTGTATACTATGCAGGACTTATTAAAAGCACTTTGGAAACGGTTTCCACCAGGTGTGCTTGCCAAGTAGTGAACAATTTCTGTTAGTTGTGATATTTACTTGTACAGTTTACTTGTCAAATACATCTTTGTAAAAAAAAGTGTTAAGTTAAGGCTATTTCATACTCCTCAAAGACCATCACATCATGATGTATATACAGGTGGCTGAAAAGTAACTTGCACCCCCCTTAACTTTTGAACCATTTGAGATGATCATTGAAATCTGTTTGGATATGAGGGGCTACAATGATGATGGTTGATTTTGAAAATGTTGCCCTTAGTTTTCTTTGGCATTTTTTTAGTTTTGTCACCTTTGAAATGATACCAAAATTGGCTACACTTCCCACTTGAAAATTTCGAGCTAACCCCTACCCCCGCTAAGGGCAAAAATTTCAAAATTACTAATTTTTATTGCAGCCCCTAGTATCTAAGATGGTTGCCACAAACCGATTTCAATTAGGTATCTCAAATGGTTATCTAGTCAAAGAGGGGTGCAAGTTACTTTTCAGCAACCCTGTATATCTGGCAGAAAGTAATGCAGAACTGATTGTCATCTTAACATATTAAGATTAGGCTTTATGCAGTGTATTGATTTTGGAAGTCACTTATTTTGATTAACATTTTGGAAGAATATTGTGTAAGAATATCAGTGGGTCCTTCCCCAATTATTTTTACATAAAATCTTACCCTTTAACCCCAAGTGAGGATCCAGGTCGGAAAAAGTGTTTAGAACCGTCTTATCCAACAAAAATTACGTCCAAAATCGCTGGGCCGGCCAGCCCGCACAATGAAATTTGTGGGTACTGAGACGAAAATACTCAATTTTTTTGGTCTCACAAACACAGTTTTTCACACTAGAAATGTTAAATAACACTAAACTAATATTTACAATCATTGTACAGTCCCTTCCTTCCTTCCAACCATTGTTTATTTCAATAACAGTGAATCATGGGACTGCTGATAAAAATATGGTATGGGGAGTCCATATTTATTAAAAGGCACATAAACTAAAATAACAAACAATAAAATATATAGTTGTGCCATATAAAAAGCAAAAACCAAAAAGAATGTCCAGTCAATAAATTTTGCATGTTAGAATCCTTCGTGGGCGATACACACACAGTATAGGTTATACAATATTTAGATATAATGCTAGCAACGCAAAAGCAATAACTACGGTCCTTTCCACAAGGTTGTGCCACACTGACTGCTTTATTTCAGCGGGAACCTCGCCAGCCTGGGCGCAAGTTCCGCAGCTGGTCCTCAGTGAACGTGGACAATCTTGTATTTAATAGAAACATTTAGTGTTCTATGCATTTATTCATACCACTCTCTCATTTTAAATTTATTTAATGATCTTCTGAATGATTTTCTTTTCCACAAACTATTAATTTTAGAGATACCTCTTCACAAAAAATTTGCAGCTCTTTGAGAGTACTGGTACACCCATATTACTAGTTTCTATTATACTTTGATGGTATGTACACAAATTTATACACTATACACTGTTGCAAATGTTAGCAATTAAAACATTTTCTTTGTTCCGTTTTATCAGGAGATGGAATAAAACCACAAGTTATGATGCAAAACTAATAATTATTATTCATCTACTACACCAATATAATAACAGTTAGTCAATTACATAAAGTGTTGGTAAAGACAGAACCAATACAACAGCTATTTGACCACATGTAAGTAATAAAGATAAATAAAAAAGACTGGCTTTATATAAATTACAGCATTTATTGTAATCATTTAATATATTAAAATCTAATAAATTATCTCTCTCCGATCCTAAATTACATTAAAACGATTACATTTTCTATAACATAAAAATTATAAGATTTTTCTATTTGGTAAGAAAGTACAAAAATAGAACTATTTTTGTGTTAAAAATCGTAGTGACATCAATAGCAATCTTAAGTCACACGACACCTAGCTCGGAGTCCGGTGGCCAATAGTATTTAACTGGTAACTTTCTCTCTACTCGATAGGAAAACACATTAAAGTATATTAAATAGAAATTATATCACAGTTTCTCTTCTACAAACATTAGGAAAACATTTGTGCTCGGGCAATCTTAAAGATAAATCTAAGCTAATCTATCACTAAACAATCTGAAGGCAAACTAGCAGGGGAGGACAATAAACTTGAGTCTAAAATCAGCCGACACATCATTGCACTAGTAACTAAAAAAATTAATTTGATCCCAATAGATTTTCCTATAGTTCAAAATACAAATAATTCCTCCGCACGTGCATTACTATTAGACAAAGCGAGAGAAGAATAACTAAGCCAATCTATTTTACAAGCGTGCCTACAATTATTAAATTTCCTTGCTAAGCAAAAAGGAGAAATTTGATAGCCTACAGACCGATAGCAGATAACCTCGACTATCAACATGTGCTTGAGTTTGTGATGTAAAAAATTGAAATTTCAGTCAGGCACCTTTTGATTACTTCGCACCACAACAATACAATGAAAATCTCCAAATAACAATAGAAATTATATAAGATGCAAATCAATGAACTATAATATCATAACTAGGAAAATGTATTAAAAACATCAACATTAATCGTAAGATAATACCAAACCAAATAAAGATGACTAACAGAAGAATTTCCACCCATATAAAAAATTAATAAACTCAAAAAATTACTCACGGATGTAACTAGTAAAAAGTGAGAAATAAACAACTCGCCTAAGCCTTTTTGAAGTATCAAAAACAGTTCTAAAAACGTTTGGAGTAAATAAAACCACCACTTATAAACTTGACTCCTCCCGTCCACCACACAAGTGATATCAACCGAGTCGACAACACTGTGCGCCAACGTTGACCACCTTCGACAACAACATCGCTCCGCTTGTCCAAGCGGAGAAATATCCATCAACAGCCCTAGATAATCTAAGATTGCCTTCGTCTCATAATATACTAGACTTAATACATTAAATATTACAATAATGCGTATATACAATTTAAAATGAATCTTACCCCATAAAGAAACGTGATAACCATTAACTGTATGACTTGTAAATAAATGATTATACACCTTTGTAAAAGCAAATTAAAAGAGCCATGCATAATAATATGGAATTGCAGTAAGGAAGTGGTCAAGAAAGTGGCAGCATCACCACAACAATCCAAAATTGCGGAAAGTGCATGTGAGATAAATATTTTTATCGTTTCCGCAGAGGTTTGTAGCACATGGGTCTTGTTAGCAACTCTGTCAAACAAAACTTTTACTTATTTTTTATAAGAAACATGTTCAAAAAGGAAAAAATAAAACAATTTCTTAAAATATTTAAAAACGAATTAAATTGTGTTAGGTTAAAAATACAAAAATCTACGATAACTTCGAAATCAAACTATTTTAAAGTGTTCTTGAGACACTATTAAAAATCTATACTACATTTAACGTATAAAAATGATTTTTTTTTATAAATAAAAGGTTTTAACTTAAAAACAAGTAATCCTTAAGGTCATAATGTAAGTTACCTTTCAGAAATTTAATTACATGGCATTTAGTAAAATTATTTATATTTTTTTCAAATCAACACATTTCAGATCCTAATTAAAGTGTAAAGGAGTTATGCCTTTAAATGTTAGTTTTAATTTAATTTTGACCTGTATGTGTGTTTTGAGGGGATAGAAACGTAATAACTGTGTATTTTAATCCCTTCCCATGTTATTAGCATAAGTACAAGGTAAGTTATTATTATTTAAAATTAGTTTTGTCATACTGCAAAACAGCTGTTTTTAACTCATGTGATGGTGCAAAATAATTGGCTGAAGCATAGCCTCCTCTAATACATAGCTGCGCGTTCGTGTGTGGCAACGCACCAGCATGCCTATCGCCATGGTAATAACAAACTTGTAAACAAAAACATTGTGTATCGCTCCATTATGAATTAATATAACAGCTGTTTCAGTATGCCGGATCTGCAGCATTGCCACTTGTGTCTCACCGCGGCCCTGTATCAGAGGAGGCTATGGCTGGAGTCCAGGAAATCAGATGTACATTTTTCCTCATTTGTAAACTTTGTCTAAACTGATTTTGATAAAGAAAATACTTTCGATTATAAATGTGTTATCATATTGACATTCAAATAAATTTGTGTTCATTTGATAATTTTTCAAACCATCAAAACAGGGCAAATAACTGAATGAATTGTGAACATCAGATTCTGTTTGTTTATGCAGCATAACAAAAGTGTTTGATTAGGAAACTAGTTTATAAAAAACATGAACCTTAACAAAATTAGTTGTGAATTAGATAGCTGAAAGAATGATGCAGTATGGAAAAAATATAGTTCGTCACACAACCAAAGCCTTTTCTACTCGCTCATTTTCTAGCCTCGGCTACACATAATTTTTTAACGTTACAGTTGAAATTGTCTCGTAAAGAGCATCTTTATGAGTGACAAAATTTAGCTTGGTATTCGATCCTAAATAAAAAAAGTATGTAATTTTCAACTTGAAACAGCAATAACAAAGAAGTATATGTTTTTCAACCCCCTCTAAATTTGTTTTATTCACATTGAACAGCAAAGCCAACTATTATCATTTAAAATGACAAACCTCTGCGGAAAACAAAACTTACATTATGTTATGTCAATAAGCAACACTGTGTCTGCGTTCAACGCTCAGACGAGAAAATAATACTTTGTGACGAGACAAGAAAACTCATCATACAATATACCAATATATTAAAAACCATCATAATGATGCAATCAAAGTATACGTAATCTTAACATACAATAATATTGTTTATACAATATTTATACCACAAATAATAATATGGTGAAATTTAAAACTTGTAAAAGCTATATTGTATCCAATGTCTATACACTGGATGGATTTGTACAATAGGTTGCGCCTCTGTGAAAATCATTGCCAATTTATCAAAGGTTTAATTCTTTATGTCTACAACATTTTGATCAAAGTAGCATTGCAGAATAAGTAAATTTAATTGGTCTTAAATAAAAAGTGAGCTATTTAAGCCTATTAAAAGGGAGCCACTTCAATTACTCCAGAAAGGGTACACACACTTTAGACTTTACGTTTTTCATAGAAATTTCCCTTTTTTTTTAAATTACTTTTACATACAGTGAGTATAGTCAAATTGGAGATAAATAATTTAATTTAAAATCATGAAATACATCATTTGTAACTTAAAACACTAAGATCATGTTTGAAACTTTGAAATTATTTTACAAAATCTCTAATACTACGAGAGATTTATGATTTTTCCATGTTCTTGTTGTTTTGCACAGGTGCTTATTTTTGTCCTTTGTTAACTTTGTTAGTTCCAAAAATAAGTTTCATATTTTCTCTGTGATTTATGTAATGTATCTAAGTGTGTTAGGCGAATCTGTAAATAAATGAAATGATTCCATTTTTTTCTTCTAAAATCCCTTCTATTCGATTCAAGATTTTCTTAAAGAAAAGAACATTGTGTTTTAGTAAGTTTATTTGTGCTGTTTTTGTGACTTGTTTGCTATTAACTGTTGGTTCATTGACCATTGCTGACACATATTATATACAATGTCAATGGCTAATAAAGAATTCTACCGCAGCATGACCATCAATTCTGCTCAACAGCATAGTTTTGAGTTTAAAGCGTTTGTTTGCTATCAAAAGTTTTCAGCCTGAAATAAAAATATTAACAAACAATCACCACACATCAAACTTTTATTAAAACTATCCTATAAAAATTATAAATAAAAAAGAGTTTTCAACCAAACGGTAACCTCTAGTCATCTTAAAAATAGGCTATATTATTTACAAAATGAATATATTTTTTTAATTGGGAAACATAAAAATTCCTGAATTAAGTTATAAAAATAGATATCGACCAAATTTAACAGCAAGAAAACAAACAAAACTCCCAAACTCAACCATCAATTTAACAGAATACCTCATCACAACATGACCTTAAACAAATTTTTCTTTCAGATCAATCCATCCAGTTTATAGACATCTTGTATATCTTTTGGCCAAACAATTTATTTACAGCAAGAAATCAGTACAACTTATATTTATTTAAAATCCAAGGACACATTTGATTTTTAAATGGACATTATTAACAAATATTTTACTATTTTACATGTTAAAACCTATTTACAATTGGTTCTGAGTTCTAGCAAATAGTTCTTCCAAGAGGCAGTTTACATCTTTGTCCCAACTTAAGGTGATCATATAGCAAAAGCAATTCCACTGATTTAAACTTTTAAAAATGAGATCAAAACTTTTAAGAACTTTTTTATCTTAACAAACTAAAATAAAATATTGCGCAAAAAGTAATATTAAGGGAAACAAAAAATCCAACCCAAGTTGAGGTGTTGATGTAAACCTTAGATAATGAATGTAGAACAGCTAAATTGACTAACATGCCAACATAAACCCAAATCCATAAACAATATCAAACTCAGCAAAATTGAACATTATCCATTAAAAAGTTAAGATAAATCTTACTACCAAAACAACTATAAAAACTATGTGAACATAACAAAATCCAATAATACCATAAATCATACATAACTAAAATTCTTAAAACGACTAAAGAAGCAATTTAGGCTAATTTCCTTTACAACAAATAGGACTCAAATAGAGTTGACTAAATTTAAGACAAAAATTTCAGAAACATCAATTTCATCTGCAGGTAAATGCACATTTATTGTATAATCTAAATCAGGATAACACCATCTTCTATGTTACATTGCATTGCAGAAAAATGGGAATTTCACAAATTCGTAGCTTAAGCCTTGCAACTAGAAACACGAGTACATAGCAATAATAAGCGACGTGGATGGAATGAGTCGTAGGCAAATAGGTTCCATCTGCAATAGTCAAGAAACGCTAACAAAGAACACTACTAGAGATCAAGTCCTGTTTACTGATACAAGTACTAGGTAATTACTTATTTATTAACACAATAAGGATATAACATAAAAAATCAGAACAACAATTCTTAAATGAAGAGTAAATAACATTATTTCCTGATTATTTGAGAACGAATGATCAAATTAAACCTTAACATCAATGCATATGCTATGGAATCCACTAAATACTAGCAACACATTTGTAGGTATGATATACCTAAATTGATGATTTATGATGATTAAATAATATTTTATAAAATATTGCGTAAGGAATTTTACTAAAGTTTCTTAGGGTACTAACGATGTTTTATCTAACTCCAAATGTTCTTCTACCCAGCAAACTTCTTACAGTATCTAGGTAACACTCCAGCCTGTGTGTTTTTATCTAACTTTGAGCAAAACAGTTTTATACATCTGAAATATATTGCGCTGAACATTAAAAACCGATTGTAACTGCAAAAGTAGTAACTAGCATTTTTATCAACCCCATTAGTAGTAAAACAGGATGCTGAAAGGGAAAATAGGACTTGTATCTAAAAAGAGTATGAGAGAAAAATTATCACAGGTATCATATTAACATTAAGCTTCATCTCGATTCTAGTGGCACTACTCTTGAGGTTATCACACAATTTTGTGCAGTCACGAAATGCCTAAGAAACAACTACTGCCGTAAGTACGAACCCTAAACTACTATGTACAATCAGGGGGGGGATGACAAAGAATGGAAAAGCATTGCAGACGACCTTAAATGTTATCTCGCTGGCAGTGAGTTAATCCTATTTGCCTACAGCTAAAAATGCTCTTTAAAATCACATTTTTCTGTTTATTAATACGTAAACACTGAAAAGAAAAGCATAATGATTTCCACAAATCTAAATAAGAGAGGAGGCAAAACTATCAAAACTCATTCCTGAAGACACGGTGATTTTAAAGAGGTGTACACTTATATGTCGAATAGTAGAGATTAAACCTTGAGCATAGACTTGTTGGGCCAATGGTAGCGAGGGTGGGGTGGCAGCGGGGCTCCCTGACGACGCAACATAGGATGGTACGGCGGGGGGGAAGGAGACATCCAGTGAGGAGAGATGATGTTGTACCATGGAGCGTGGTGGGGGTGTGGAGGGTAACCACCCCGCCTCACACCAGACTTCTGTTTAGGACTGGTCTGCACCCACTTGCGGTTGTTATTGTGGTGATGCTGATGATGTTGCTGAGACTGACGTGAGTTGTTGGTCGCCAACGGAGTTGTCTAAAAGATAACAGAAAAGAACAAACGTTTTAGCAGATTTTAATACAAAATGTGTAACTTAAAATATAAATGAGAATCTCCACAGTAATTCTGGTTGTAGTGAGAAAAAATTATTTGACGGATTATTGCATACATTTTCCATCACCGATAACCTATACCCTGTCATCTGAGCTCTAACTGGCCTAATAGGTTTTGCCTGTTAACAGCACCATTTAATTGAAAGTGATTCTCATCACGCATAACTGCATTTTCTAGTTCCTCAAGCATCACTAGCATTATGAGCAGTTTTCTTGCAGCCTACAATCTCATACTTGTAGCATCTGAGTCATGCACATCTAGTTATCTAGTCTTTTTTCAAAACTGTTCACACTGATTCACAAAGTTTGCTCTAATTCATGAGCAATTCCTGCCAACCGGCTTGGGCTACAAAACAAAGTTTGCCTAACTGTTTCCATATTCCTTTTTTGTATATATACAGGGTGTTTATAAAAAACCTGATCAATTTTAACTTTGTCTCACTCATTCCGTGTTAGAGGTAGAAACCTCTAGTTTTCATTATTTGTTAGGGAAACTCAAAAAATTTTATAATCAGCTGTTTTTATTAGCAGTACCTTCTTACATTGTTGTGTGATAAACAAAAATAAATAAGTCACATTTTACGATGGATCCTCGAGTGAAGACGCAGTGTGTCGAGTGGTTAATAGAAACTAAGTCTCCTCTTGCTGTTCAGCGTGGATTTAGAAGGAGATTTAACGGAAATCCTCCTTCAAAGAACACGTTAAAAGGATGGTATGAGAAGTTCATGACCCGTGGGAGCATACATCACAGAAAAGGCAATGGTCGTCCAAGGATAAGTGAAGAAAATGTTCAAAGAATTTATCAATCATTTCTTAATAATCCGAGACAATCAACTAGATCTGCAGCTCGAGAGTTGAATGTTAAGCATTCCACTCTACACAAAGTGTTAAAAAGAGTTTTGCATTTTCGGTCTTATAAGTTACAGATAGTTCAAAAGATTACGCGACAAGACTGGGCCAGACGCAGAGAATTTGCAGTTACAATACTTGACCGTTTAGAAACTGACAATAACTTCTTAAACCGGATATTTTTTTCTGATGAAGCTACGTTTCATGTATCAGGGAAGGTGAACAGACACAATGTCAGGATATGGGGATCTGAGAATCCTCATTTCACCAGGAGCATACTAGGGATAGTGAGAAGGTGAATGTTTGGTGCGCCTTATCTTGCAACAGATTGATCGGCCCTTTCTTTTTTGCCGAAATAAATATCAATGGGACCAGTTTCGTGGATATGTTGGAAAACTTTGCCATTCCACAGTTTGAAAATGAGCAGCCGAACATGATGCTACAACTAGATGGCGCTCCACCTCATTGGAGACGGTTTGTTCGTGACTGTCTCGACGAACCTTTCCCAAATCGTTGGATTGGCCGTGACGGACCCATACCTTGGCCACCAAGGTCGCCAGACTAACCCCATGTGATTTTTTTGTTTGGGGGTTTGTAAAAGATCGTGTTTACTCCAACAAAGTCAACAGCCTGGAAGAGATTAAGCAAAAGATCAGAGAAGCATTTGATGAAATTGATGTTCCGATGATGCGGCGAGTTTGGGCAGATCTCGAACAGAGACTTGATTATTAAGAGCTAATAATGGAAAACATGTAGAAATAAGATAGTGTGAATGTGTCATCGTATACTTAAGAAAATTGTCTTTAATTTAACATTAATTTAAAAAAATTGTGATGAAAAATAAAAGAGCGATGACTGTTTAAAATCGATCAGTTTTTTTATAAACACCCTGTACCGTTGTACTCAAATTAATTATCTACCAGAGGATTGTATTTCAGGAACTCAAAAAATTCGCTATGGTGCCATGATGGACTTATCATTTTACACATACGCATCATAGGTCAATACTGCTCCATGACTTCTACCCTCCCATACAACAATTACTATCGTGTGTATGCCAGCAAATAAAAAAATCCTGTTCCAGTACTTCTATTTGAAATGTAGGAAGCCGATATTAAAGAGGCTTTATCCAAAAAATTTGTAAGATTAAATGGAAAATAAGTAGCATCAAAATATTATTTAGAAAAAAAAGTTAAAACCATAGTAAAAAATTGAAGTAAAAAGTTGTAGATTTATGAATTACAGTAAATAATAAACGGTATCAGCAATATGTCATGCTTAAAGACAGACACACACACACACACACACACAGACGTCACTCCAAAACCACTTTGGTTTTTTTGGTCCAGGGGGACCCAAAACTGATATATTCACTCTAAGCTCAAACTTGAAAATTGAAAAAAAAATTACTGTTGTAGATCTCTTTGGACAGAATAGCCTTTAAAATCCAACCGTTGATATACCGAAACAAAATAGGTTGTCCAAAATAAAATAAGCGCTCCAAAACGACTGTTTTAGAAAAATATCTCAAAGAATAAATATCTTAAGAAGTTGTAATTGAATTCAAATTCACCACAAAACATTGGGATTTACAGTCAATATATTAAAGTAGCTAAGTTTTATCTGATGGTCAATAACATTAATGTGAAGTCTCTCTCAGCAAAATTATGGGGTCAAGATAAAATTAACACCCATAAGTGACTACAGCTTGTATCAAATTTCCCCGTCACTGTAGGCTTATTTACTGATATAAAGTGATATAAAAATGACATATTTAAAATGAAATAAACATAATTTGTAATTAATTAGAAAATTTAATGATTCTAAATAGCTTATCAGAGACACATTTCTAAAGTGCCCATTTTTATGTTGACAAATAACCATCACCATTACCCTATCACTAGGCCTTGTAGAGATAGATAAAGAACATTTGTGTTGAATATCTTTCACATACTAATGACCACGACTACCGGCTACGACTTAGACAATTTAGTGACACAGCTCGTTTTACCGGTCCATAACCATTGTAACACATTACAAATTAACACATATAACAAATTTTTAACATTACGACCGTGGTAAATATTTTCTAAATTCTACAGGGTGTCTAGTTTATTTCCATTATAAAATTCAAGACTAATTCCAGACTTTTCAAGACTAATTCCAGATTTTTCAAGACTAGTTTTTTCAACAATTAGTGGGTGTTGATACCAAAATGTATCAATTCTCGGTTCTTATGATACCGACCGATACCAATTGTTATGGCTTAACCAAATTTTCTAAATAATACTACACCAACCCCTGTCTTTGCCCTAAAGTAGTATTATGATAATGTGGTGTTTTCAAGTAAAGAAATAATGCAGCAATAAAAAATTCTAACTAGCAAATTTGGTTTTTTTTAAATCATGAAATCGTTTAGACATCATCATTGACTGCAGCGGTTACAGAAACGTGATCGTCGTCGTCCGCGATCAACGCAAAATCATGAATATTTCCCGTGGCCTTGTAGACATCAATGACATCATCGTCGTCTCCCGCGGTCTCAGAAACGTCATCGTCATCGTCCGCGATCGCGGCAAAATTATGATCATTTCCCGCGGCTGTTTAGACATCACTGTCATCTCCCGCGGTCACGGAAACGTTATCGTCGACGTCCGCAATCACGGCAAAATCATGAACATTTCCCGCGGCCGTGTAGACATCATCGTCGTCTCCGCGGTCACGGAAACGTCATCGTCATCTCCCGCGGTCACGGAAACGTCATCGTCATCTCCCGCGGTCACGGAAACGTCATCGTCGTCGTCCGCATCGCGACAAAATCATGAACATTTCCCGCGGCCGAGCAGATATCATCGTCGTCTCCCGCGGTCACGGAAACGTCATCGTCATCTCCCGCGGTCACGGAAACGTCATCGTCGTCGTCCACGATCGCGGCAAAATCATTAACATTACCCGTGGCTGTTTAGACATCACCGGCATCTCCCGCGGTCACGGAAACGTTATCGTCGGCGTCCGCGATCACGGCAAAATCATGGACATTTCCCGAGGCCGTGTAGACATCATCGTCGTCTCCCGCAGTCACGGAAACGTCATCGTCATCTCCCGCGGTCACGGAAACGTCATCGTCGTCCTCCGCGATCGCGGCAAAATCATCAGAACATCTCCCTCGGCCGTGTAAAATGAAATGAAATGAAATGAAATGAAATATTACTTTATTATCACAAAACATTTCACAGATCCAGCGTTAGCTGGTGAAACAGGTGATATTGTCAGAGATCTTAAACACTAAGTTACATAACAAAACTAAAATCCACATAGCTTAAACTAAAATATATTTACTTATCATTTAAATAATCAGAAATATTATAATAATTTTTCTGTAAAAGGTATCGTTTGAACTCATTTTTAAATTTTGAAATACTGTTAATTTCTTTAAAATTAGTGGGTAGACTGTTGTAAAGCCTTAATCCCATATAATAAGGAGATCTTTCATATAAACAAAGGCGATGTCTTGGATATTGAAAATTTTTTGAGCGTGTATGATATGGATGACTGATTTGTTTATCATTGTACATTTGATAATTAATTTTAAAATTCACCATCATTTTAAATATATAAAGTGAAGGCAAAGTTAATATCTCATATTTAGCAAATAAAGCTCTGCATGAGGTTCTTTTAGGCATAAATGATAAAATCCTTATAAATTTCTTCTGAATTTTGAAAACTGCTTTAGAATAAGAAGTTGCTCCCCATAATTCAATCCCGTATTGCAAGACAGAAAAGAACATTGCATAGTACACTGTGAGTTTAGTTTTTAAATCTATTACATTTCTCAAAACATACATTTGAAAGCAAGCCGTATTTAATTTACCAACTACCATTTTTATGTGTGTTTTCCATGTTAAATTCTTATCGATATCTAAACCCAAAAATTTTGCATTTTCAGTAAAGGATATAATATTATTATCATAAGATAATTCAACAGTGGAGTTTTGCCTATTCTGAATTGTTTGAAATAACATCACCTGTGTTTTAGAATTATTAAGTTTTAGCCCGTTGGCTGTAAACCAATTAGATAAATTAAGAATAGAAAGACTGATTTCTTGTTTAAGATTTTGCAAATTATTTGATTTAACTATTGCTGTAGTGTCATCAGCATATAAGATAAGGTTAGACGATACATTTCGAGGTAAGTCATTAATAAATATTAAAAATAGCAAGGGGCCTAGTATTGACCCTTGCGGAACCCCACATTTAGTGTTAAGCCACTGTGAAATACATTTTTTACCATTTTTTACGATTATTGTTCTTTGATGTCTGTTAGTCAAATATGAATGCATCCAAGACAGAGCCATATCAGAAAATTCATAATATTTAAGTTTACTCATTAATATATTGTAATTTACACAATCAAATGCCTTGGATAGATCACAGAACACCGCAGCTGTGCTCTGAGACCCATCCAAGCCATCAGAAACCTGATTTATGAAGTCTGAGACAGCAGATATAGTGTTTTTCCCAGATCTAAAACCATATTGTTTATTGGTAAATAAATCATTATTTTCGAAATATGAATAGATTTGGTTGTAAGCAATTTTTTCAAAGATTTTAGACAAAGATGGGAGTATTGAAATAGGACGATAGTTATCAGGGTCCATTACTGAGCCTTTTTTGAAAAGTGGTTTCAGCTCAGCATTTTTTAATTGATAGGGAAAAATTCCTTCATCAAAACATTGATTGATTACTACACAACAACATTTATCATTATTATACCATCATCATTTATCATTATCATTTATCATTATTTATTATTTGGAAACATTTATCAAAATTTACTAACAACTGATTGAAAAAATGGTTAAAATTAGTTTGAGCATCTTGTTTTATGGCAAGTGTGTAAACATCATCGTCGTCTCCCATGGTCGCCGAAACTTCATCGTCATCTCCTGCGGTCACGGAAACGTCATCGTCGTCTCCCGCGGTCACGGCAAAAACATGGACATTTCCCGCGGCCATGTAGACATCATCGTCGTCTCCCGCAGTCACGGAAACGTCATCGTCATCTCCCGCGGTCACGGAAACGTCATCGTCGTCGTCCACCATCGCGGCAAAATCGTAAACATTTCCCTCGGCCGTGTAAACATCATCGTCGTCTCCCACGGTCGCCGAAACTTCATCGTCATCTCCCGCGGTCACGGAAACGTCATCGTCGTCTCCCGCGGTCACGGAAACGTCATCGTCGTCTCCCGCGGCCACGGAAACGTCATCGTCGTCTCCCGCTGTCACAGAAACGCCATCGTCGTCTCCCGCGGTTTCGGAAACGTCATCGTCGTCGTCCACCATCGCGGCAAAAGCGTGAACATTTCCCGAGGCCGTGTAGACATCATCATCATTGGCTTTCGCGGTTACGTAAACGCCAGACGACGATCGCGGCAAAATAATGAAAATTCCCGACTTTGAAATCAAATTTAAGACTAAATCCCGACTTTTCAAGACCACTTTGAAATTCAATACTAATTCCCGACTTTCCCGATTTTCCCGACTACTAGACACCCTGATTCTATCTACGCCACAATTAGTAAGTCATGAAGTAACACTTTTACACATAACTTTTAATTTTTAATTAAATTTTATCAAGTAAGAGTTTGACAGGAAATTTAAAATAGGGTCCTTAATAAACAATATTTTCAGAACATGTAGGCTAAGTGATTGGCACATATCTTGTGGCATTTCATTGTAAATTTTGTTGCCGCCCATACTTTTCTCCCTAGAATTATAGGCTGTAGCGCCTACAGCCTACTCACTGACAGCCATGATAAATACATACATAACGCCCTTAACCGCGGCATAAGTTGACGTGCCACGGTTTCGCTATTATATTATTTTGCTAAGACCGGGAAAGATGTCCACGATTTCTAAACGACTGCAGGAAATAATGTACAATATTTTATGAACTAGTTTAGGGATGACAAGTACGTAATATATTTATCAATGCTCTCCTAAGCAACTCAATTTGGGCCAATACTCAAAAGTCAACCAGGCAAAAAAAAATCTGGCCCGCAGAACTCTAATGCAAGTGGCTAAAAATGAAAGCCAAGTCTGCAGCTACTAGGTAAAAACTACTTTTATATTGATAATTAAAATTATGATTGAGGTTTAAGTTTAGCAAAAATACAACAAATAAATACAAAATAGGCCTACACCTTAATTACCCAATTTAGTAGCCCTGTAGCCCTGTTAAGTAGCCTATTTATAATGTGCATTATAAGAAAACAAGAACAATACTATGGTAGTCTAATTAACTTAGACCAACCAGGAAATCTTTAAATATTTCGCAAGCAGACGTGAATCTCTGCAGAAAATTCGTTGGATATTTTAACTTGGGTCCGTTTTAGAACGTCCCCAATCAAACACCATCATTAAAATAAAATTAGTGGTAATTTAGTGGAACCCACCTGTGGCTTGGTGTCTTTGACAGGAGTCTCGGCTGTGACAGTCTCCACAGTCTTCTTCTCCTCCTTGTCCTCTACTTTGGGCTCTGTCGGCACCGGTGACTCCGGTTTCTCACTTGGTGTCACAATGTCTTTTATATCTCCGTCCAACAACTCCTTGATCTCTTCACTCACCTCAATCAGGTTCTCTTTGTCATTAAATGACGCCAATGTACAGTACGAACCTTTGTTCTCGCCAAACCTGAAAGTTAAGTGGATCTTACAAACTTTAATTAGAAAAACTTACTACAAGTTGAATGATATACAGTAGACTCCCTCTTATCCGGACTCCTCGGGACCGAGGCCAGTCCGGATAACGGGTTTTCCGATTAAACCAACGTCCAAAAACTCGTTGAAACGGACTGTTTACTGCAATATTTGACTTAAATTTAATTTAGGAGAGCATTGTATTAAGACACGTGATCACTGGTCTTAAATCTTTCCCACGAGAACATACGTTTCAGTACTGCCCACTTCCTGCCGATCTAGTCCGGTTAAACCAATGTGCTGATGAAAATTGTCCGGTTAAAGAGATGTCATTTCCGCCGAGTGTAGTCCGGATAAACCGATGTCTGGTTAAAAGGTGTCCAGATAAGAGGGAGTCTACTGTAAACTTGTACAAACAAAAATAATTCATGCTTTTATTTGGATCAAACATTCTTTTATTTGAGCATGTAACAGTTAAAATGTATTCTACCAGTATACTTCTATGCGATTATTTAAAAATGCAATGGTGTCCGCCTATGTGGGTGTTACTCAATCAGGTAAAAACTACTGAACTGATTGGGCTTAATTCGATAAAAATAAAAATATACCTATAGCTACTATACGACAAATCCGTTTAGGACTATTCCATTTTGGGCTTTCAAAGTTCTGAGGTGAGGATTATAAAAGTAAATATTAAATCGTCTGCACGGCTGCAATTAGAAAACTCACAATGTTCACATTTGCTATGGCATCTCAACAATGTAAACAAGCAGAACTGTCAAACTGATTTCATTTTTTAATGCTACACAGCTGACTTAAACAAATAAAATGTAATATTCAGCAAAACCATGTGGCAGGTTTATAATTTTGAGATGATGAGTATTGATTAAGGAAATAAGCCTAAGCAAGATTCTATAGCCATTGTCTGAATTAATCTAGGCTCTGTCCCTGGGTTTTCAAAATTAACACTACGCCAATTATATTTTGATAGATACTGTATTTGTATAAATAGTACAAAAATTATTGGATTTATAAGATATAAATATTTTTGCCAACTCCGTACCCCCTGATCAGGACGCCCTGCTAGTGTAGGCCTACTGATAAATTACATTTTGGCACTGAGATGCAAACTTACGATATTGACATCCTTGCCTTGGTTTTACAGTCTGACACGATACTGACTTAGGCCTAACAATTTAGTTGTAATAACTGAAAATATTATCAGAGTACAGCAAAGAGAAGAGGCAATCACATTGAAAAATTGGCATTTACATGTGTCAAGAAAAAAAAACAATTGAAGGCAACTTCAGGTTACCTATACAAAGGTTGAACCACCTAATAATCCAACAATATTTAACTAAATGGAAAAATATTTTTGTTAGAAACTGTAGCCTAGTTAAAAATGTCTAACTGCTTCTGTAACTATACAAGCAATATCACTTGCACAGGTTGATGATTAATTGATTTAGTTGGAGCACTAAAGTTAATTGTCACTCATATATTGATCGTTTAATGTTAATATTATTTAACCAACTTTTCAAGCGTTATCTGACCTCAGCCTTTGAACCAAGTACAAGAGATAACATCTTTTCATAGCGGTAAACATACTAAATTTAGGCTTATAAACAAAATTAATCTTCAAGAGAAGACAATATTATGTGACTAAATACCCTTGCAGGAGGTAGTATTTTTTATGTGTTTGAAAGGCAATGTAAATCCTTTAGGCCTACATGTAACGATTTCAGGATGGAAACTCCTAGTTTTAATTTTGAAAATATATCAACCTTTGCTGTAGACCTAATATAAGTTAACTATTTAAAATTTCCCCCAAGGGAAAAATGTTTAAAGACTGTGCACAGTCGGGTGCAAGATGACCTGAAGTAAATTTTAATAACAGTAATTAGTCAATAGTCTTAGAAAAAATACTTGACTTAGAATTGAAGGATGTAAACTCAAATTCAGTTCGTGTAGGTTGAATTGGCAAAATATCATTAGTATAGGCCTAACTATTGAAAAATTAGATGAAATCAATTCTTTTACGTTCGTACGTTCTTCAAAATGGTTCGGTTACCAAGTTACCGTACAAATTTGCAGTGTATCATGCTCTTAGGCCTAGTGCAGGCCTGGTGTTGAGTTTTGGGGTGGCTATTCAGAGTATTTGAAAATTATGCCTTAATGCAAACCAAGAACTTCTTGTAACAATATTTTAAGTAACTTAATATTTAGACTTTGTCTCCATTATATATTTATACGTGTTAAAGTTTTGTTCAAATTGCAGTTTTAATAACCTAATAGAAGACCCATTTCATAATTACAATACGAGAAATAGAAATATCAATTAAGTTCTTTAGAAAATTCACCACGCATTATTTTGGAAAAATACCATGTACAGTAAATTACTAATTAGAATAAAAGACATTGACTGTAACTCCGGGTGTCACACTATCCCGTTTAGCAGGATGTGGCTGAGCAGCATGTGACATTGCCCTGTCACACTTGTCCTATTCTATTTGTCTGTGCTCTTGAAGCGGTTGAAGTGGTTTGTTGCAATGGAAACCTTTTCTTAGGTCCTATTGGGTACACCCTTTTCATTTGAAAATGATAGAAATGAACAGTTTAACCCATTGGCGCCGACTTACAAGCGTTACTCGTACGGCCGCTGCAGGCCCGGCGGCCGACTTACGAGTGCCGCTCGTGTCACCGCTAGGCAGCGCCATTAGTTATTTAGTTATTATTATTTTTCGCCCTTTTAGTTTCTTCTTACTATTATAATGTTTATAAATATCTTGCTTCTTGATTTGCGTATTTACTCTTTTATTTTAGCGAATAACAAACAATTTTGTGTTGCCATGGAAACCACATATCACCAAAAATCAGCTGCGCTAAGTTAAACAAACAATAAAAAAAAAAATTTTATTACTTATAAAAAGTACACAACTTTTGATTTTTCTACGTAGGGAATCGATTGAACTTTATAATAGTAGTGTTATTTGGTGTCTGGATTAATCTTGGAATTTGTATATCAAGTTTACTTTCAAAATATTGTTTTTAAAATTTTTATTTTTATAATATTTATATATATATATTTTTTTTAGTTTAGAACTTTGACTATCCAATTACCACTTTTCTGTAGACAATTTTACTGTGAACAAAATGGTGAAAGAATTATTAATTTATTCAGGGTGTCTAGTTTATTTCCATAATAAAATTCAAGACTAATTCCAGACTTTTCAAGACTAATTCCAGATTTTTCAAGACTAGTTTTTTCAACAATTAGTGGGTGTTGATACCAAAATGTATCGATTCTCGATTCTTGATACCGATACCAATTTTTATAGCTTAACCAAATTTTCTGAATAATACTACACCAACCCCTGTCTTTGTCATAAAGTAGTATTATAATAATGTGGTGTTTTCAAGTAAAGAAATAACGCAGCAATAAAAAGTTAGAACTAGCAAATTTGGTTTTTTTTTATCACAAAATCTTCCACGTACCGTACGTTTAGACATCATCATTGACTGCAGCGGTTACAGAAACGTGATCGTCGTCGTCCGCGATCACAGCAAAATCATGAACATTTCCCGCGGCCTTGTAGACATCAATGACATCATCGTCGTCTCCCGAGGTCTCAGAAACGTCATCATCATCGTCCGCGATCGCGGCCAAATCATTAACATTTCCCGCGGCCGTGTAGACATCATCGTCGTCTCCCGCGGTCACGGAAACGTCATCGTCGCCTCTGCGGTCACGGAAACGTCATCGTCGTCTCCCACGGTCACGGAAACGTCATCGTCGTCTCCCGCGGTCACGGAAACGTCATCGTCATCTCCCGCGGTCACGGAAACGTCATCGTCGTCGTCCGCGACCGCAGCAAAATCATGAACATTTCCCGCGGCTGTTTAGACATCACCGTCATCTCCCGCGGTCACGGAAACATTATCGTCGTCGTCCGCGATCACGGCAAAATCATGAACCTTTCCCACGGCCGTGTAGGCATCATTGTCGTCTCCCACGGTCACGGAAACGTCATCGTAATCTCCCGCTGTCACAGAAACGTCATCGTCGTCGTCCACTATCGCGGCTAAATCGTGAACAAACGCAAGACTAAACGCAAGACGACGATCGCGTCAAAATCATGAAAATTCCCGACTTTGAAATCAAATTTAAGACTAAATCCCGACTTTTCAAGACCATTTTGAAATTCAATACTAATTCCCGATTTTCCCGACTACTAGACACTCTGTTTATTACCTAAGGTTTTCTTTCTATAGCAGTTAGAGTAAAAGTCTACAAATTCGGTAAAATTAATTGCCGCCAGAGGGTGCTGCAGGTAGCGCATTAATTCCTTCCCCAATGGGTTAAGAGTTTTTATTTAAGTATAGGTAAGGCAATATCCTTGCAAGCTTTTAAATTAGCCTATTATAAAATGTCCATCACATCTTTTAATGAGCTGCTGCAGATTTTGAGGGCACATTTAACGAAGAATTCCAAGACCAACATTTCTCTCGTTCATTCCTATCAGAGTACTCTTGACAGGTGTTTATCGCAAAGTGCAGGTTGATCGTGGCCACATTCAATAAACTTGCCCAGTCAAAAATGATAAACACGCGGCACAACAGGATAGTGTGGCTGCTCTCATTTAACTGAATGTATTTTGACTTTAATCCTGTCGTACGGTCGTCCTGCAGCACCATGCGGAGGATCCCGTCGACACGCAACAATGTGACCGCTCCCATTAAAACCCATCAGTCATCCCGCCAAACGGGTTCCGTTTGACTGGACCAGCGAAACAGGATAGTGTGGCGCCGGCCTTACAATAATTTAAAAAATAATCCAATCTCTGTTAGGTACTGGCTAAGGTGTACTATCACAATGATTCTCACTCCCTCGCTCCCACACATTTACTTAGGCTAGCTTATTCTGGCAAGCGATTACAAACTTTCTTCTTACAGTAGGTTATTGACTATCTAATTATACATTAGTTATTGACTTGTCATCTATTCGACCAACTAACTAACTTATTCTGGAACCAAATTAAATGACTTGTGATTAATATAGAGCTTGGAGTTTTATTACTGTAGGTGGCATAGACATAGACCCGGGAGTGATTTTATTTTTCAAAAACGCTAGGCTACTTTCTTATTTAGGCCTATATATAGCCTAGAGGCTATATGGAATGTATACCGGTACTGGTACCCTATTTCTTCCTTAGGTCAAAACAATAAAAAATAAAATCATGTAAACTCGTGGTTTTCTTGAAAAGTCAATTTAAAAAATATTTCTATAGGCCTAACTTTTAAACAAGCGATAGACTTCAAGCTTAGTACCGTACATAAACTTAAGTGGGCCAGATAGGACTAATAAAAGGCAAATTATCACATTCTAAATCATACCAATTCAAAATGGCAACCAATTAATTTTTTATATCATTCAATACATCAAAAACTAGTGTTTCATAAAAAAAAACATAGAAACTCATCTTTTACCAAATTTTATGACTAGTCAAACTATAGGCCTAATTGAATTGTTTCAAACCGATTAATATAACTAAGTTTAGGATATTTTTCATTTCCTGAGATTGTGCATCGTCCAGACCAGCCAGACCGAGTCCAGACGCTGCATCTCAACAACAACACACAAATCATGATACTCCAATTTAAATTACAATAAGTTATCTTAGTTGTTTATGGATAGAATAGAATATAATTTTATTGTTACGATAAATACACATTTCCAGTGTTCCAGCACATTTGGGAAACAGGTGACATTGTCATTAGGCCTATTCACAAAATCAGTTCCGGGTGAATTTGATTGTAAAGAGCAATATAAAGGAAATTCATGTTTTACCTAACTAACTTTGCCTTTTATTAGGTAGGCCTATTTAAGTTTCAGTGGAATTTAAATTTGGTCTATTATGATGGAAATTTTAACCGAGCAATCTTGGCCAACAACACATCATTTATTTTACAGTTGATGGTAAAAATAACTCGTTTATCCTACTAGACAGGTGAAACACGTCAAAATCAACCGTTCATCTTGAGTTTTGATACAAGTTCAGCTAACTAACATATGAATTTTTTGAATATAATATTTCCAGTTCTTTCATCGGTAACTGGTCGCCCAAAAGGTTTTCTAAATCTTACGTTTCTTCTTGATCATGAGCTTTGTTCAGAACGTTAAAGCCTCTTTCACCGTATGGGAAAAGAAGATAATAGGCCTATGAAATTATTGAGTCTGTCGTCTAGTGGAGGGAGTTAATATTACTGATAACTGGTTCCATATCCTTAAATAAAGACCTTCAGATCATATTTCGATCTTAGCAGTAAATTGCCATTCTTGATTGTAAACAATAGGCCTACCTAAAATTGCATCACTGGTTGGGGGGCAGATTAATTTGTTGTACAGTAGGCCTAATTTTATAACCCCCCCGCCACAGCAAACCTGCAGACTAAGCGAATTTCCATTTGTTTGAATTGATTTTCAATTAGGCTAAATGTACTAAAATAACATTAGGTTTAACGAGTTTAGGTTTGCTGTACAAGGAAACTAATTAAGTGTGGTTTTTTAGTAAAATATTAATACAGTAGCTTAGTATAAAATAAATACATTTTCCAAGTTTGATCAAAATATATTTATAAACAAGGAAACTTATATAGGTTACAATATTCTCCATAAGAATAACATGGGAATTTTAAACTCATTATATAGCCTACATTTTGAAGAGAATTTATTTCCCAACATAGAAACATATAATACATGTACTATCAATATTAATTGCGTCATCATGTGAAATATAATCGAACCACTTACCAGGGAATCAGGTTTTGAGGTTATACCAACATCATACACTATTAGGCCTGACCCTTTATCACCATCACTGCACTGAACACTAATATTGTCATCGAAAGCGTCGTAATGATCCACTCCCGATATTTCACTCAACCTATCAGAAGTATTAACTAAATTCATTATCTTGAAGAGAACACAAAGTTCCGACACGATTATTCATTGTTTTCAAACAAACTAGCAACATACGTAATTGCACAACACACAACAAAACATCAGCTGAGTTCTAACTTCTAAACATCGCAGCAGTGATGCATGTCAAGCTAGCGCAAAACAAAATATACCACCACGAGAATCAGCGTTTTTCCCCGAATAGAATGGTGCCAAACACAGCATATTATTCTTCCTCCTGCAGTCATAGTTAGCACAGCAAATTTAAACTGCTTGCGGACGCATATACGCGCCCGTGGGTTCCCAGCAGGGCTACTGCACAGACATGAAACTTGTACGCGCCCGTGGGATTCAAGAGGTTAAAAATGTCTAGAGAGACATTGGAAAATTTTGAGTTTTGAGGGTCAAAAACGAGAAAAACAATTTTTACCAGATAAACCCCGTTCCCATTGTCCGATAATGCTGGTCCACAAACTCATTCAAGTTTATCCCGCCTTACATCTTTAAACCAAATTCCATCAAAATTGAACAAAAGTTATCGCGTTTACTGACACACACACATATCATATGTATAAATTTGAACGAGTGGTGTTTTTGGCCTCTGGGGACATCAAAATGAAAAAGTAAATTGATCCCGGGCCCCGGACTTATGTCTTACCGTGCCACCTACGGTATAATAGCTACTTCCCCATAGAGGAATTCGCAAAAAATAAGTGTTTGTCTTAAGTCCAGAAAGCAGTAACATTCTTATTTGAAGAGGGTATACTCCCACACTGTGCACATTGTTCATACCGTACGTGCGGCCCCCTCAGCGTCAGTTCTTCCGCTCCCACAGTCAATTAACTTCATTTGAATTGTTTCCAACATCAGAGAAACGTGCACTAAGTTATCTATGTTGTAAGCTTACAAACAACTTGTTAGAAACAAGTGTTAAAGTTAGCAACAAAAAGTTGTTCCCAACTCCGTTATAAAAGTTGTAAAAAGAAAACTAGCTTTAAGTAGGCCTTAAAAGTAAGTTCTAACACATAGGCTACTTAAGGTTATTTTATATTTTTATTTTTTGGGTACCGGTAAGTTACCTATTTCTACACCAGAGGCATTCTTATGTTATGAAAGGGAATGGTCCAAGCCCTGGTCTTGTTAAACGTCGACATTTTTGTTAAATAACGCGCCATCATTAATTCATAGCGTAGGTTAATGATAAATGGCATCTGGGTCCCTGGAAACGATCTCACTTGAAATCAAACCAGCTTCCTTCAGATTGATGGCGAGCACTAAGCTTATCACTCAGCACTCAGCAGCTTAGCACTCAGCTACCCAGGAAATCAATTAACTTAACTTAGTCTAGCCTACAAGTTGGACTCACCTGCAACAAACTTCATTTGGATCAACCCATATGGTGAGTTCAACCGGTAGCTTCATGTCTTCATACTTTATCCCACAAGCCCTAGCAGCCTTCTCCAAAGATACGTCATGCCTAGAATGTTCATTGACTCGAATACAACGATAACCTTGCCCTTTTTGAGGTAAGTCAGGGAACCAATGATTTTCAAAGCGTTCTATTAAGAGTTCTGAAAGACGTGCCTTAAACTCTTCCAACTGCCTTGGGTTAAAGTTTTCGCCTTTCTCTAACAATCGAGCTAAAAATATAACTGCTGCTGATATTTCTTCGCGCATGGTTGAGATTTGCAATACTTTCACAATTCAACTTAAGATAAAAAGACCTGTGCAACTTTTTACACATAAGTGTAGGAACGGACAGAAGCTCTTAAGCCCAGTACCTAGGCTTTTGAGGGGAAAATAGACCAAACTGTTTAGGTAAACAATTGAACTTTCACCAGATTGAAACGGAAGAGTGTATATTATCGGAGCTACTTTAGCTTACAATGTTTTCTTTTATAAACGCAACCTGAAACAAATGAATATAAATTAGTAAGAATGACAAAATCTAGCTTTTTATTATCTTAATAGCCACGTACACAAAGAATTAGAAGTTCTATTTGTACCAACGATCTATCTACGTAACCTAGGCCGACCCAAAATTGGAACAAAGACAAAACAACTTCCTTAAAGTGAAATTTTCGGGAAAGTAAACAAAATCTAGGACTTTAATAATATTAATATGCATTGAGTATCCTCAATAAACAATAACTATAACTAAAATTCAATATTATCTTACCAATACTTAGAAAATAAACTAAATATCACTGAAATAATGAACTTGCAAACTGCAACGTGAAAACAGTGAAAAGTGAAAAACAGGTGACGACATACATAAAAGAAACAACGAGAAGAAGAGATGTGAGAACGGATGAAGGAGAAGGTAATTATTCTGACCAAAGACCTCCGAGTTTCAAAAGTTATTAAGGTAATCATTGATTTTATACTATAAATGCATACGCATAAGTTACTATTGTGTGTTATTGTGTATAAGTTACTATTACTTGATACTTGTCATCTTTATATTTGACCGTGATTACGGATAGATAGCGTCAAATTTGATAATACTTTATACGAACTTTTATACCGTACTTACAAAAAGATGATACCTTGTCTTTCATGTCCTTGAAGTCATTCACAAAGTTTTAGTCCAAAAGATTTCACTTGCAAAATGTGGTCCTTAAGCATGGTGGAAGGAAAAAACATAGGTGTGCTATTCCCACATATTCTGACGTCACTCGGATTGCAAACAAAAGACCACCTGATTGTAACTGTCAAATTAGTATGTATTTGTTTTGATTTGATTGTTATTGTTTTTATAGTCCTTCGACCATCTACCTCTATCACTCCGACGTCATCATGCCGACATAATTCTGATCTACAAGCTGGTAAACGGGTTCATCGATTGTCCCAACATCCTGAGCAGTATCGACATTACCATGCCTAGAGGCACCTGCTCCAATACTATATCCAGCAGACGCTTTCTCCCAGCCTACTATTCCTACAACAGCGGAATTTGCCATCTACTCAAGGCTGGTAGCACGGTGGCTGCTCAACTGGACTTCTTCTGTGAGAAGCCCCTCCCGTTCAAGAAGTGGATAGCGCTGGGTTCACAACGATATGGTAGGCATACGGTTAAGTATCGATCGTCGTAGTATGAAAACAGCTACTATCGAATATCGTAAATCGTAATCGTATCGTAATTGGCTTCCATAGCGCCAACCAACCAACCAAAACGTAAACAAACCAGTTTAGCTGCTAACTCATGTTTTCCAATTTTTATTTTATTAATAAAAATGTCATCGTATTTAATTATTAATTGTTTAATGTAAAACAGATTGTAAATAAACTTTGTTAAAAAAAAACCAAACCAACCAACACCGACAGACAGAAGAGAGAAGACAAGAGATTACAAAAACTACTAGGACTAGCCTAAAAGGAGAGGAAAATATTTGATTTAATTTATTCCAACATTGTTCCTTTTGATCAGTTTCATGGTGCATAGTGCATTATTATGGAGGAAATATGCAAAGGTCATCTAAACGCTTTTAAAAGTAAGGGGGTGGTAATTTATCTGGCGTTAATTGCGCAAGTTACTGGAATATTAATTTTAAAATTCCTCCGTAATTTAAGTTCTTATGTATTTATCATGCTGGTTATCAGCCTTAATGTAATTGGATAATAAACATTTTCATTGGCAAATTTTATGCCAGGTTCAGATATTATGTTGTACTTATTTATTTGCATTCACTCTCACTGTAATATTGTGAATAAAATTATGGCCTTCCGTCGGCCAGGCCACATTATGACGTTTGACGACAGACATAGGAGCTATAGGAGCAGCTGCAGCAGAAGGCACCAAGCACCAAGGCAATAGTTTACTATTCCACCATGAGTATGAGACAGCCGGTGCGGTGAGCCAGAGAGCCGATGCCGATACTAAAAGTCGATGTCTGTCATCCGGTAGAAAACAAGCTCGATATTTAACCGAATGCCTACCATATCGTTGTGAACCCAGCGCTATCCTTTAGTAGGTCTCCTTGCTCATAAGCATCTAGACTGCCAGTGCAATTCCTAGGATCGTGAATTAGATCGAAAAACCCCCCACCACCGCTCCGTGACGATGGCGTGACACCAACCATTACTGAAACGATACGGAGCTGAGTCATGAGCCTTGGTGGTGTAGTGGATAGCTTGCCGGGCTGATAATTTGAAGGTGCCGAGTTCGAATCCCGCTGGTAGCACTAACTTTTTGTCAACAAATTTGTTCATATCAGCAAGTTTGATTGGTTTGGTTAGGATATGACAGTTTAATTATATAATTAAAAAATTATAAAATTGAATTTGAGACATTTTAATTTTATTTTTAGAACAGACCTATTTTTCGATTAGTATACCTTCATTCGAGTTTATCATTATCAGCAAGTTTGGTTAGTTTGGTTAGGTTATGACAGTTCAATTATATTTAATTTTAATTTAACCTACAAATTATACGTTTTGACAGCGACAGTGATACAGATAACAATTTTCCGCGAACAGTTAGATAAGCTATGCTGATGCGCCGGTATGATTCGGAAGCGTAGATCCACGATCCTCGGAGTTGCACTGGCAGTCTAAAGGCTAGTCTCCTTGCTCACTTGAGAAACCACACTCCAGCATACTTGCAAATTTTGTTGTCTTTGTAACTTGCAGTGTTAATTTATTATTATTACTCTTTTAGTTTATTACTTTGTTATTACTTTTAGCGAATTTCCCATATAGGGAATAAGCTATTACCGTAGGTCTCATGGTAAGACCTAGACCCGGGACCGATTTTCTTTTTCGTTTTCAGGTCCCCAGAGGCCAAAAACACCATCCGTTCAAATTCATATCATATATATTTATATATATATATATATATATATATATTTGTATATATATATATTTATATATATATATATTTATATATATATATATTTATATATATATTTATATATATATATTTATATATATATATTTATATATGTGTCCGTTAGCGCGATAACTCGAGCAAAATTGATCCGATTTTGATGAAATTTGGTACAAACGTGTAAACCTACATTTATTCGAACGAGTTCGCGAACCAGCATAATCGGACTATGGGATCAGGGGTTTATGGGGGGTTTTATGGGGTAAAAATGGGTTTTTCTCATTTTTGACCCTAAAAACTTAAAATTTCTAAATTTCTCTCTAGACCATTTTGAAGAGCTTAAAAAAACAAATGATTTAGTATATTGAAGTATTTTTGAATGTTCATTGACTACGGAGAAAATTTAAAAAATTGTAAATTTAAAATTCCCATGTTATTCTTATGGAGAATAAATAAACTGTTCTATTTTGCTTGTTTATGGATATATTTTAATCAAATTTTGGCAATTTGGTTTATTTCATACTAAGCTATCAATATTTCAATTGAAAAAACACATCTCAACATCTTCCCCGTAGCAGCAAACCTAACTACTCACTAAAATTAATGTTATTTAAATAGGAAATAAATCTGAAAATTTATAGGGAATATTTTAGTAGAAATCAAGTCGGGTAAATGGAAATTCGCTTAGTATGCAGGTTTGCTGCGACGGGGGTATTCTAGTTAGTGCTATTGTAAATGCCATCTCTAACATATTATAAACATAAGTTATATATTGTAAAATGGTGTAGTGCGTTGGGAAATAATAAATAAGTAAAAGTAGATTAAATGAATCTCTCATTTCTATGATCAAAGGGTTTTCATGTTAGCGTTTCGTTGTGTTTGGAATGTCTTCTTGTCTTCTTCTATCCTTTCTTTCCACTGTACTACGTTCTTTCCATTCCAATCAGGCCAATCTGGAGGAGTGTCAAACTCGAACAGTTCCGGAACAAGAACCGTTCCACCCGTTCCTTTCGGGTCTCGGAAACGGTTCTTTGGCTCCCGTTCCGGATGTCGTTCTGCTATTTCTCGTACATTACTTTATGTAGGTTTTTTGTAGACTCGTGTCTTAGGTCATCCAATTGACCAGAGTGAACAAAGATTTACGAAAATAATTACCACAGATAGGCTACAATGTTTTACAAAAAAAAAAATATCATCGATTCATGACTGGAAATTAATTCCACTTTAAATTATCATTTCGATACTTAATCATATGAGTGTCTAATATATTTTAAACCCGGCTGCAGCCTGGATGTAAAGGCGGCCGTGTCTGAGTATGGTCACATAATTCTGTGGTAGGCCTGGGCCTGGCAACTCTGTCTATCAAAAATTGATCATCAGCAATCCCTCTATCGATTTCTGTAGACATCGCCAATGGTAATATGACTATAAGCCAACCGGTCCAACTCCAACATTACAATAAAACTAATAAAAATTAAACTTTACAATGGCCTTGGCCCCGGGCCCGGACTGGGCACAGAAAACCTTCCACCATGGGGCAAAGCCGTCGGGTCGGATGGTCTTGGTGCGTTCCCTTCCGTAACGTTTATCAGAACATAACTCAGAACAGAACCAGAACTACTAAGGTATAAAGACCGTAAAGTGGTGCAGGTTGCGCGACCGGAAACGGAACGACAAGACGGTTCCACAGTGGTTCCAGTTATTTTTAATTTTATCATTTCTGCTATTTCCAGTTCTAGAGAAAAGAAAAATAAAACGAACTTACAATTTTACAAACTTCAAATATGGCGTCTCTTCTCGAACGGGATGTCGTCTATACAATATTTACATTTATTTCAAGTTAATAAGCTTATACTCTTTATAAATTCTTTATCTTTTTCATTTCTAACCGGCGCACGTTTTAGTAAGTCAATCAGAGCCATCTCGTCGAAGCTCTGATAGTTTTGTTTCGAACAACTACTGTACAACGAAAGTTTTTCTCGAGCTTCATTTTTCTTTGTCAACCATGGCGACAGAAATCCAAATCGTCAACCCAGGAGTTTTGAGCAGAATTGAAAGGTAATTTTTTATAGTTATATTTGTTTTTGTATCAGGTTTCTACTTATTGCTTCAACCGAATATTATCTTTTACTTTGCCTAAACCCCTTTCATGTTTTTGGTCTTAGTGCCTTAGGCCTAGGCCTAATAGCCTAGTCTTAATAGAGGACTCTAAGTTAGTTGTGCTAGGCCTATTCCCTTGTTTGATGCCTAAGTGTTTGTAAGCTATGTTATGTAAGGAGTCCACCCTCGGTTTTACAATTTGTTAGTCTATAAGTTTAAGTTACCCTATTTGTTATTGGCCTATTCTATAGCCTACGTTGACAATAGTAGGCCTAGGCCTAGTCCTTACATGTGTAGGTCTACCGGTAGCCTAGTCAACATTTCAATTCTGC